AGTGAGAGCGAAACCGCTGTACATGCAGTGTTAGAACTGGCATAGAAAAACAGCATAATCGGAAGGTATTTTAATGGAACAACGTTTTTTGCAAATAGGATGAAGTTGCAGGAAACAATTTATTTCAGTTATGCAACATTACCCCCACAACACAGCTAAGAAAATTAGTTTTAAGACTTCTTCAAAGAAACGGTGTGGTGTGGGTGCATGAAATTGTTTAGAGGTACAACCGACATACTTGAGATACAAGCAGAGACAAGAGCTGACAAAATCTGTCAAAAAACAACAATCAAACAGAGATGAGACCTTGTGTCAGCTCTTAACGGATCAATGATGTGGAACAAAAACACTAACCAGAATATTTTTACTAGGCTCAGGATTGAACCGCAGGGAGACAGATAGATAATCAACGACCTAACAAAGTATGAAACATCTTTTCTGTCAAAAGCAACCATGATGTTTGAAAACGATGATATAATGAGGACAGTTTGCGGCACTGTAGGCAGTGCAGTCGTTTTTTTATTTCCGAAACCTGACTGGTGGTGTTGGCGACTTTGGTCGAGGTCGCTTTCCCAAGGACTGATAAACTTCCCGTTCTCGAGCCTTGCTTCGCTCCTAAATACAGCATGTGGCTGGATTAAACATAACCAGGAAAGCATCCTTAGTAGAGACGAATCTGAACTGCACGATGTTTACCTAATGAAACTTCAATGTTTCTTCGGCAATTAGCTAAAGAACGTTTTTAACTTAGTGGCCGTGCATAACGAAATGTTAAAACTTTTAGGCTATCTCAAATCTCCTACATATCCGCTGGACGGTTTTTCGAAGATATTTCGTAATAAACGCAAAAAAGCTGCTGCAAAAGGAAGACATGGAAGTAATTTAAAATAGTCTCTCTAAGAGATTTCTCTGGTGATACAACTGTTATGACTGGCCACTCTGGATGAAACGCATTCCCGTGAAATGCTTGACCAAATCATGTCACAAAAAATGGAATATCTCCTCGAAGCATAATCTCTGTTGAAAGATAGCTATGAAACTGCTGTGAGCGTTTCTGTCTTATATTAAATCACTCGTAACCCGCAAAAAAAATTAAACATTCAGTTCCTCCTAAGCCATCTACGCTTTTTTTAAGATGAGCACAATCTATTCTTATTAATAACTACATTACAGAAAGGACTTTTGGAGAACGATGCAATAATCAAATTTGCGATCACCTTAGCTCGCTCCCGCTCTCGATCCAAATATCGGTCTCGGCTTTTGCTCCGACTCCTACTTCTTCTTCTTTTGTCATCTCTTCGATCTTCCCTTCTGTCTCGCTCTCTCCTGTCATCGCGTCCTCCTTTCCCACCGCGATTTTTGTTCCGACCATTTCGATCAGGAGACTCTCTTCTGCGACGTATTGGCGAATATTTGTTCCTAAGAAGT